TCACCCCCCGACCCCCACCCCAGGGAGATACATTCCCTCCAACAGTTCCTACTAGCCTTTCCTCTTCCCTGAACTTGCTGTTACTAATTCACCCCTCACTGTTCTTCAAGGCAAAACATCTGCGAAGTTTTAAGTCCTTCCCTCCTCCCAGCCTACCCCCATCAGTGTCTAAATGTATGCTACAGTTGTTAAGGTTATAATTTGTTATACCATATTGACCTTCTTGCTTATTTTGTATCAGAACAATGCATTTTTACGATTTGGACTTTTTGTTTTCTTTCATCTATGGGTAACTGACTATATAGAAGGCTTATATTTATGGATACTGTTTATTTTATTTTATTTTTTTTTTACCACAAGATAACGCCATGAGACTTCTCATATTATCTTTCACCAAATCTTTTAAACAAGAAGCATTTAAAAGGGAGATGTTTACAAGAAGCTAACTTCAAGCAATCACAGCATTTCTTAGTAGCTTTTCACTTTCTAGCATTTCCCTAACCTGTAGATCCCAGCCCTACTGCCTACTTGAATAAGTTACTTGTCCTCTGAACCTGGATTATTTTTTAATAAGTAGTCATGTTCAAGGGAAAACATTGATAAAGGAAAATTTATTTTTCTGACATTCTTTAGGTACCAGCATATTCGTATTAGGAAGTACAGGAAGAGTTGATGAAATGTTGAGTGATAGTAAAATGCTTATGTATATTTTTTCTAGGCCTGTGTTAGAGGTATTGAAATTAAAAAGAAATCTGACATATTCAACCACACAAAAAAGTGTTGCTAAGGATTAGTTTTCCTTTATGTTGTGTTTATATGTATGCATGTGAATGTGTATACATTTTTAAGAAAATTTTTAAACATTCTGCCAGCTTTTCTCTATTAGAATATGTGAACAACATGTAAACTATGTAATAGATTCAACTGTGGAATTTCTCTTCCTTACTTAGCTTTGTGTCTCTAAGAAATATACAACATTAAGTCAGAAATGTGTTGATTTCTGAATTTATAATCAGTTATTCTTAGTTTGCAGAAAAAACTTCAACGTTTGCCAATAGCACAACCTCACCTTGATCAGGTAAAAAAAAAATCTTAAAAAATATTTTCAAAGTATCTCTTTAACTAGATTGGTTCCATTTAGGACTGTTTTATTAGAACTTTTTCTAAAACAGTATTTTTGAACTGTGTTTATAATTTTCAGAATTTGAATGCTTTTGAGGTCATCTAATCTATCTTCTTAATGCATAATTGGAATTCATTAAACACCAGAGTTGTTTAGAATATTAGAAAATCATGCTTTCTAGTTTGTCCATTCTTAGGTCACTCATCATATTTAATCAGTTCTTCTGAAGGGAATCACTGCTTAAAAGTATCCTGGGGGTGGGGTTCTAAATGCCGTCTAGTGAGCTGATGAAGGAAAAGTTTGGTATAAGCAAGCATCCATGGCTTATTTAAATCAAAATTGACTTTGAGTTTCACCTTCAGATAACACTGTAAATGTACACTTCTTAAGGTGTTTTTCATGCTCTAAAACTCTTAATTCCTGAGGTAAATATTGAAGATGTTAGGAACAAACAAAATAAATTTTCACTGTACCTGTCTTTCTTTTAAGCAAGTCATAGATAGTTGAGCTGTATGGTAACTTCTTTGTTCCATTTAAACACAGTGAAATGAAGGGGACATGTGGGTGGACAGTGTACCTAGTCTTCTCTCCTCTGTCTTGAAATTGTCACTCATTTTTTGAGTCATTATTAATTGTAATAGGGCCAAGATAACAACAGCTACTTGTTCATTTGTCTTACTACCATGTTTGTGGCACTTTTCTCTGAGAAACTTTTTAGAATATTCAGCTTCACTTATCTTTAAAATGAGTGAATGAGAGAAATACAAATGCCTGTTGGTAGTTGGGAAAAACCACCGTTTACAATGTCAATGTTACAAAATGAATTTGAAGTAAATTGTTAATGACTTTCTGGGTGAAGGACATCATAGTAAGAGTTATAAGGATTAAAAGATGAAGAAGATTTAGTATTCACTTTCAAGAACCTTGATAATGGCCAGTAGCTACACCCATAGTATTTCGAATGCACCCCTGTCGTGGCATTTATAATGCCTTAGCGTTTGGGTTGAAATGCTTGTCCCTTGCAGTAGTCTATAAATTCCTTAAATATAAATTCCTCATTGCTAGGTATAATGTGGGTGCTCAGTGAATATTTGTCAAAAGAATGAAAAGCTGTGATTCTCAAATGGGGGCGTATATCAGAATCAATTATGGAGCTTTTTGAAAAAATTAGATACTCAGTTGTTGCCACCCCTCATATCTCCAAGAATGGGCTTTGGGCATGTACATATTAATGTGTATGTATATTTTAACATTTTATTTTGGAAAATTTCAAAGATACACAAAAGTAGAAAGAATAATAAAATGAAGCCTTTGTGTGCATGACCCAGTTGCAAAGGCCATCAACATTTTGCTGATTTTATTTCATCTGTCTTCCCAACATTTCTCCTGCTGCAATATTATTTAAACTTTTTTTTCTTTAGACAGAAAATTTCAAACATAACGTAAAACTAGAAGAGATAATGAACCTGTGTGTATCGGTCACCCTTGTTGGAGTATATTAAAGCAAATCCCAGACATGTGTCATTTCACCAGGAACTGGGACATGCCTGGGGTTTTTTAAAAGCTCTACAGGATATTCTGATGCACTTTCCTGCTTTAGATTTATGTATGAACATAGAACAGATATAATGTTATTGCAGACAAAGGACTACGCGATTAAGAGGCATGAACAGTCCCACTTGGTTTAGTAGATCTGAGGCTTTGCTAAAGACAGTATTATTTATATGTAATAAAGTATACAAGTTTTTAGTACACAAGTCAGTGTATCATCACATATGTGTGCAGATGGGATATATCTGTCCATATGTATACGTGAACACATACCCTGCAATTCCCACTCAGATCAAGAAATAGATTTCTGAAACTGTTAAGAGTCCTCTTGTGCTTTTTCCCAGTCAATAACCCTCCTCCCAAAGAGATAACTGCTATTCTGACTTTATACCAACAAGTAACCTCAAACTGGTGGGTTTTTTTGTTCGTTTGTTTGTTTTGGACTGGAATAAGTAAGGGAAAGAACAATCCAGATGTTTGAAGGTGGGAAAGGGGGAATGCTCTAGAAGAGCAGGCTCCAGTGCAGAAGTCTTGGCGAATGCTGGCTATTGGGATCCTGGTATCAGTTTTGGTTTGCTAGGCAAAGGGAATGGATGCTGTGCTGTCAGACAGTGTCAGGTGAGCTGGGTTGGAGTGTGGTTTCAGGAGACCAAGCATGGAAGGCACTGAAGAAGATCGGATGCCCTGTGAAGAGGGCCTGGACTATGCTGGTTGTAGTGAGAATGGAAATGGGATAAATCGAGCGCTGTTTCACGGGTAGACTTGCCTGAATAACCTGACTAACTCGTGATGGAGCAGTAAGAAGAGAGAGACGTGATAGGAAACATGCCTAGGTTAACTAGAGGAACCTAGAAATAGAGAAATCTGGAAGGTAGGCTGATTTGAGTGAAAATGCCAAATACTCAGCTTTGTACCTGGCAGGATGTCACAGAGATTACACAGGTAAGGAGGGGCGGACAGCTGGAGTGAAGAGATGCAGGTTTCAGGTCTAAGCATGTTTGGGGGGTTAGTTTTTTAGGTGAAGAAACATAGACGGTATTGCATACTAGATATTGTTTGCAAAAGAGTATAGACAATTGAGGGAAATAACCTGGTAGGTTAAAGAAAAACCAAACTGAACCAACTCCTGAAATTTAGGAGTTACTCCTAAATTTTATTTTAAGGGCAGTACTTTATTTTGCTTTAGTTTTCTATGAGTAAATTATTGCCTCACTTCTAATTCTTTCTGTGTCTGGGAAAAGGAGAGTTAATTTTAGATTCAAAACAAAAATAAACTGGGAAAAAGTCTAAAATGGGTAATACCTAGGATATATTGTATATGTTACTAAGGTTTTATCCTTGAATGATGTTTAATGCAGTTCTTTATATTTCGTGGATTTCTTCTTCATTCCCTGTAAGGAGGACCTGGGATTGGAGGGTGGGAAGGTAGATGAGAAAACCCACGTGGCAATCTGTGCATGCTTAATTAATAGATCCAATTATGAACTATGAGCTGTGACCCTCATCTTTTGCCCTGGGAATTTATGGCTTTCATTTTCTTTAGGGTTTGTGTAATGTGAGAAGAGTTTATTGGGGCAGAAAAACATCTAGTTATAAAACGTGCACTTCTTTCATTGAGCCCCATGATGCATTGTCTTAATTTTTAAAACCTTTTTTACCTCACACTGGAGTTAATTGAACCCCTTGGAAATATTGTAACATCTCTTACCTGTAAATAGCAAATATCATTATCTGATATAAAACTCTTTAAGCTAAGAATAAAACAATATTGAGTTCTATATCGAGACATTCCCAATATTAAAACCCAAGTTATCCAACTGAATAAAATAACATTTTTAGCATTTTTGAAGGTTAAATTACTACTGGCTTTTGAAACTGACAAATTATGTTTCACTTGGCATTCTTTTGCTATGGATTTTGCTGTGATTTGCTATACATGTTGATATAGATTTTTAGGTAGTATTTGTAGTGATTGCTTTGAGAAGGAAAGAAGACAGTCATTTTGTTTAAATGCATACTGTTATTACTGTAAACAAAAACAAACAGTTTAAAAGCAGTGTTTAAGATTTAACAAACACTTTTTTAAAAATTGTGGTAAAAAACACATAACATGAGGTCTACCCTCTTAAGAAATGTTTAAGTGTGTAGTGCAGTATTGTTCGCTGCGTGCACGTTGGTGAGCAGCAGATCTCTAGAACTTTGTCATCTCGCTTAACTGAAACTGTGCTCATTGAATAGCGGCTCTCCACTTTCCCCTCTGCCTGGCCCTTGGCCACCACCATTCTGCTTCCTGCTTCTGTAAATTTGACTGTGTAGACACCTCACATAAGTGGAATCATACAGTATTTGTCCTTCTGTGACTGGCTTATTTCACTGAGCGTACTGTCCTCAAGATTCATCCGTGGTGTAGCATGTGACAGGATTTTCTTTTTTTAAAGGATGAATGGAATGATATTCCATTATTCCACATTTGTTTTACACTACATTTTTGTACTACCCTTTTTTTACACATTCATCCATTAATGTTACAATGTTTCCACAACATGGCTATTGCAACAAAATAAGAACTTTCAAAAATCTGACATTTTGAAGTCCAATTTTAGTTGGCTTGCAGGTCTCATATCTGAGTAAGAAAGTGCTTTCTGCTTTTCCTGTTACTAGAGTGGAGACTCCATGCCAGTATATTTTGTGCTTACATTGGTCTTTAATACTTATCTTTAGCTATTTTCTATGTTTGTATAAAAAAACAGTTTTGGTCTTTTCATATTTTCTACTATAAACGTCTGATTTTCTGCTCTGGTGAGTAAATTTGCTAAGATACATGATTCTAAGAAATGATGGAAAGCTGTGCTTTAGTACATGTCTTTTGCCTGTTTTAAAGCTTGGCTTGAACATCTTATTCTCATTATTGAAGATGAGGTTTGTGTTTTTATTGGGTCATGAATTTTCATCAAATTTGAAATTTTGGGTGACAGTGGCAAATGGAGGTTTGGATTTTAATTATGTGTCCAGCTAGTGGAAATCTTAAGCTCTGGTTCCTTGAGTGGACAATGAGAGATTTATCAAGATCAGGAGGAAAAATAAATCTCAAAGTTAGCATGCTATAAATGATGATGTCAGCTTCTAAAACCAGAGATGACAGTATGCTATTCATTCTCATCTCCAGGAACTCTTCTCCACTTGACACATACTTGGCCGGAGATAAACCCAACCTTTCCTTTATTTTTTCCAAAGAACAGAATTAAACTTTTATTTTTGAGTTTTACTCCTGGCTCTGGGTAGTTTATTTTTTCTAAGCCTCATTTCACCCAATTTATAAAATGGAAATAATTCTCTTTATTCCACAGGATTGTTGTCACAAGTAAATGAAAGATAAAATGAAGTGACCTAGGCATAAAGTACCTGGCTCAGTGTGTAGTTGATACACTATATAATACGTATCACCTTTCCTCTTAGTGCTGAGAATCCTGAAAAGAAAGAATTAAATGATGACTACCCTTTCATGAGAGTTTCTCTGTAGAAATACTAAACTATCAATCAACTGTGCAGAATATAGAAAATGGAGTTGCTGATGTCAGATATCAGCAAATAATAGTGAAAAAATATACCTAGTATGCATTGTTAGGCAATATAAATTTCTGTGAATGTTTCTTTTCATCTTAAAACTGGTGATTTTAAAAAAATATATTGGCATTACTATAAAAAAATCTTTATTATCTCTCTTGATTTACAGAGTATTGTTACAGTTACATTTGAAGTACCAGGAAATGCAAAGGAAGAAAGTCTAAATGTATTTATTCAGGTGAATGCAATATTTAATTGATTAATGATTTATCAGCTGTATTGCTACATAGCTGTTGCTATTGGCAGTGGTTGGTCTTATTAAAATATGTCACTTGATACAGAATCTTCTGTGGGAAAAGAACGTGAGAAACAAGGAGGATGACTGCATGGAGGTCATACGACTAAAGGTGCCGTACACAGTTTGCAGTTTTATACTTTTGGACAAAGTCCCTTTTTTGGCTGGTATATAAAACTACATTTGGTTTTAAACAGATGCACTGGTTTTAGTACAAATAACCTTTGCTTATTTTCATTTTTCCTTATTTCCATTGCTAAAAAGAAGCTTTGGGAATCACTGCATAAAGCATGATTTATTTGCACAGCTTCATTGAGTGTTGCAGCTAAAACAACCTGTGTGCTTTGAAGTGTCACTTCCTGCTCTCCCAGGTGTTTTGAGCAATTATTTGGCTGGTGAGCTTGACTCATTGAAACTCCCCTTGGCACACAGCTTGGTCAAAACTGAATGTCTTCTGTGTGTTTTTCCAAGAGAGCTTTATTAGCAGAGTAATAATGTTAGAAATCTTGCTGCAGCTGAAGTTTATGCTTCTTGACACATCTAGCAGACACTAAACGTGTCATATAATAAACAGTTACAAAAGACTACAAGAATCTTTGCTCTGTGTTTGGAAACCCATTCATAAAACTTGACATTTTGGTACTTATGTCACAGAAGTGTTTTTTCCAGGGGGCAGTGGTTCTAGGCTGTGTGGTTAACTCATTAGCAGTCATTTGAGTGTCTACTCTTTTGTTTCCGGAAGTGCATAAACTTTTATTATTACTGTTTGTTACTATTACTGTGAGTAACTAGATTCTCCAGTTAGAGACTGACTTCCTGGGGTCACTAGAATGACACATGTTGAGACTGTGGAGAAACTCTGAGACTTCTTCATTCCCAGTGCTGGCTCTCCCTGGGATTGATGCTGCAGAGCAACACAGATGAATCCCAAATCCTTCCCACCCAGTCCTGCTGCTGCTTTATGTCTGTCGCACCATCTACATTCCATCATCCTAACTGGCAGACCGTATTTCATTCCATGACTGCTTTTATTCCCTAGTGCTGAATAGGGGGTGGTACCTAGAAAAGCAGCCCTTTGGGCTTTTTACTAATGCTGCCACCAAGACCTCTACACAGGGTTCAGTGGCTCATCCTGCACCATCCCAGTTTGGATTCTGTCCTTAGGTATGTGACAGTTTTTCCACAGTTGTCCTTTTTGGTTCTTTCTTTGGCCTTCGTCTCATCACAACAACACGGGGGAATCTGAAACAACACAGTCTTTATTCATAGACTTCCTTTTCTTACCTGTTACATAGTAGTCCAAAATATAATCAGCATATCAGCATGTTTAAAACTCTAGTAACAGCTAATGCCTCAAAATTTTTATACAAGTAACACAATTTGATGCTTAGGTAATTCTTTCCAAGAAGTTTGTTATTACATATTAAAATTCAAATTTAAAAAGCAGAAAACTATCAAATCATTATGTTGTACACCTTAAATTAATACTTTACATGTCAGTTATGTCTCAAAATTGGGGGGAGGAGGGTAAAAACCAGAAAACAAAACTGGGCACAGGAAAAGAAAAACTGGAAAAACATATACCCAAAATACATAAATACACTAAAACTACACAAAAGTTTTATGGTGGGAATGACTATCAGGGATTTGTCTCTTACTATTTTTCAATATAAATTTTATAAGAAATATGTAGAACAAATATTTCATCCCCATAGGAGCCAGCTTATTAGATAATTTGGTGCTCATTTCTTCATATCAATGTAAAACGAACTTTTTATTCAGATAGTTTTTCTTTATTTCACTATCTATTCCATTTGTTGCAACTCATTAAAAAACAAATTAATCACCAAAATCCTTTAGCTTCTCAAATTTCCCACTGAAACTGTAAAACAAGTATGAAATCCTTAAAAATAGAATAATCAGAATCTAATACATGATGTTTTGTCATTTTGTTTGTTTTTTGTTGTGATAACACTGAAAGAACATCCTAATGCATGTATTAATTTTGTCATTAGAAAAAAATCAGTGTGCACAGAAACCTTTTTTTTAAAATTGGAGCCTTTAATAAACTATTTTTTTAATGCTCAAATAACTGGAAATAAGTAATTTTAACAGCATATTCTTTGAGTTTTTATTTTAAAAAGGAATAGGAAAAATTAATCTAGTAACATCATTGCTTCATTTATGCTTTTAAATTCAAATTGGGGCTGACTGTTCATTCTCCCCTGAGCAGGGGCTGGTGTCAATCAAAGACAAGCCACGGCAAGTGATTGTCCAAGGCGTTCATGAGCTGTATGATCTGGAGGAGACCCCACTGAGCTGGAAAGATGACACTGAAAGAACCAATCGATTGGTTCTTATTGGTAAGTTACAGTTACATTTCTAAAGCCAGGCAAGAAATATATTTGAGGGGAGAAGTGGTATCAATCAATCAGAACCCCTTTTGTAAACCTGAATAAGCTTGTGGTTAATGTATTTGCCATCATCATGTGGTAACATTCATAAAAACAGCTTTAGAAAAGTGATTAATCCAAGTGTCAGTTGGATTCTGAGGAACTTAACTAGAAAGTTAAGGAAGGGATCACTTAATTAGTATCGTTTTTGTCAATTTCTGAAGATCATCAAGCACTTAATGATCTGGAATTGGTAAGTAAACTGTGTCATTTTAATAAGTATAGTATAATCACACCATGTTTTGTTCTGTTTGCAGGCAGGCATTTAGATAAGGATATCCTTAAACAACTATTTATAGCCACTGTGACAGAAACAGAAAAGCAGTGGACAACACACTTCAAAGAAGATCAAGTTTGTCTATAATATTAGAAGCATTTCTTAGCAAAAGGATTGGATGATAATATGGGCAATAAGTTTCCTACTGGGTCTATTTCAAGCATCTGTTCTTTGCATTACTTCTATTACGAATTTCAATGTACTTTAAAATTATATTTATTTTATAGACTACATAATATATAGTAAATCAGTACTGTAAAACATTTGACATTTATACAATAAAATATAATATCCTCTGAAGTGTGTTTTTTTTGTTTTATTTTTTGGACAGATGTTTCACAAAAATATCTTTCAGAACTGACTTTAGAGTTTACATATGCTGAGTTTCTCACCCTTGGAAGTTATTTATAATAATGATGATAAAACTTACTTCAACATTGTTATTTTCCTTTAGAACTTCAGTTTATTGTATAGATATAATTTTATTAACAAAATTTTTTAAAACAAACAATGTCTTCATTTTATGAAATGAAATAAAAAGTTCATTGTGACTAGAGACTTATAAGTGGAAGAAATCTGAGTCAAAGAAATTAATTGAAAGCATTTCTTATTTGTAGTCAATTCTAAGCCTTACTGACAGTGTAATGAAACTTCAGCTATTCACCTTGTAATATATTTAGAAGATTCTTATTGTAGAGCTTTTAATTTTAAGTAGATTTTACTACTGGTATTAAATTCACCTTGGTCTTTTTGAACTTCTTTAATTTTCAATATAAGCTAAAAAGTGATGTGGTACAAACTTCGGATATAACTGCAGGTAACTTTTGATAATTCAACAGTCTTTACATAAATGGTTGGTGTGTAAGTGAACAATGGCTTACTTTTCTCCTGTTCTTACTAAAGGCCAGGGCAGCATAACAATATTCAAATTGTTGGAAATAGTATTAGATAGAATTGCAAGAAGAGCCTACCCAAACTAATCGTTGTTAAATATCAGAGAGGCTGTCAAAATGGCTTTTAAATTTTTTAAAGGATTTTAAATTAAAAAAAATTACATCTGTGTATCTTAAATGGTTCCAGTGGTTGGAGACAGGTTAATTGATTAGATTACCTATATCCCTTTCCCTGCATTCTGTATCTCATATATCACTTCTCATCCATTTGCCTCCTGAATCCATTTTCTTTTTTTTAGCTGAGCCATCCTGCCACCTGTTGGCAGCTCAGTGGCAGCTCAGCTCAAGCCAGGAATCGAACCAGCGACACTGTTGCTCAGAGCTCACACTCTTGAGTGAGCTCTTAACCAACTGAGCCACTTGGCTGGCCCATGAATTCATTTTCTTAATTCATGAGAGAATACACTTATTTTGTTGCATCACATTGTCCAATAGAGAACCAGCTGATTTTTGAGTCAGATATGGGCTTTAATTCCAGCCCTGCTGTTTCCTGGCTGTATAATCTTGGGCAAAGTTTGTCTCTAAGTTTCCTTATTGATAAAGTGGACAGTGATGTTATCAACCATTCAAGGTTGTTGTGAGGATTAAATAGGTTTGTAATGCACCCAACTCAGGTCCTGGCACACAATCGAGCCTAGATACGTTAAGTGTTTCTTCTTCTAACAATTTAAGTTTGTTTTATAATGCATGTGGTCACAATAATACTTCATAATGTTCTTTGGCAAATAATTTGTCTGGATTCATCTCTTCTAGACCAGGAGAAAGGGCTTATAATTAATTGTCCTGTTATGGGAGAAATGTTTGAAGTAATATTAATCTATACTTTTAAAAGTCTATATTTATAAAACTGAAATATTTGTTTTCCTTTAAAATGTATCAATCTTTAAACATTTTCCATCCCATCAGTATTGCATGAGTACATTTGTATTGTAAAAATGCAAACATCCCAGATGAAGTCAGTCTCCCCTGACCTTTCTCCTGCAGTCACTGTCACTTCTTCGGAGAAGCAGTGTTGTCAGTTTAATAATGTTTTATCCTTTGACACATTTCTTTTCACTTACACACACATAATGGTTTACATCATTTCCCAAAGTGAATTATTTTCCAATGATTAGAGATTTAATTTAAGCTACTTCAGGAAACTTACAAACTTGCCAAAAATATCCTCCAGGAAAGGTTTTATTTTATATGTGTTTTAAATAAAACACTGTAACGCAATTTTTTTTTTCTTTTTGACGAGGTGGTCAAGTGGTTAAGGCAATGGGTTGCTTTTTTTTTTTTAACTCAGCTGTTAGTCTTAGACCATTCCATGACAGTGCATGTAAATATGTCTTCTTTAACTGCTGCATAGATAGTCATGTAGCACATAGCACAGAACACGCTCATTTTAAAAGACATTTATTGAGAGCTTGCGATTTGCCGAGGTATTTGTGCTGGGGCTGAAACTGCACATGACAGATATAGGCCAGGTTCTCATATTCCTTAGATTCTGGTGGAGGGAGGGACCTAAGAGAAAATATGAGGTAGACCCAAGAAGGCTGATAAAAACGAAGACTGACTTTGGATTGAATGGCCATGGAAAGGCTCTCTGAGGAGAGGGGCTTTCAAGTTGAAAATAGAATTGAAAGGAGTTGTTCATGCAAAGTAGGGAAGAAGGATCTAAATAGAGGGGGCAAGTTTACAGAGGCCCTTGAGGTGGGAACCAGCATCGCATGTTAGAAGACCGGGAGGAAGGCACGAGTGGCAGAAGGTTAGAAAGCCAGGGTATGAGGAGGAATTGGAGTCACGGGCTGGGGCCAGACTTGTTGCTCTTTATAGGATGGAGTGACACATTTGGATTGTTCTGAATGCCCTGGGAAGTGAAGGGTATTAAGCTGGAGAAGTGATGTGGTTGTGATTGATATGGCAGATGAACTAGTTGTTCTCCGTTTTTGAAATTGCAAAATGCTGCAGTGAACATCATTGTGCCTGCCTCTTTGTTCTCGTGAGAAAGTTTCTCTAGAATAGATACGGAATGGTGGAATCACTAGCTTCCAGGACATGCACACTTAAAATTTTTAATAGATACTGATAAATTGCTCTTCCAAGTGACTGTACCTTTTTGCCTTAATACAGTAGTGTATGAAAATACCCACTTTTCCAAACCTAGGTAACACACTTTAACATTTGCCAATCTGGATGGAATGACAGCTCCCTTTTAATTTAGATTTTGTACTGTATTTTTATGTTTATATATTCTTTTAAAGGTGCCTTGTCCTGTTCATTCTTGTTTTCCCTGAAATAAAGTATTTTTCAATTATCAGAGCCATAGTTTAACCTGTACCTTTGGAGGATGTGGAATTTGCCATAGATATCCTCAAGAAAAGACTTTACATTGATAAAGCAAATCACTAAAATAAATGTGGGCCATTATTCTGCTTACTGTAGAAGATTTGCAAGGTATTGATGATGATGATGATGATGATGATGATGATGATGATGATGATGGTAAAGTTTAGGCATAATTCATCTAAAACTATAGCTTACTGAGTCATATAGGATAAATGACAAAATCTGAGTCCGTGCCTCCTTATTCACGAAATGAGGTAACGATGCAGATCTCTGGATTGTTCCAGGGATTAAATTTAAAGTACCCTGGATACAGGGTCTTAGTAAATGTGAATTCCCCTTTTCCAGCAAGAGCTGATTTAAAAACTCAAGCTTCTGCATACCTTCTTTCCTAGGCTTTTCCAGGCTTGTAGCGAAAGGAGCAAGAACACTGGTAGTGAGTTTAAGATAGCTGTAGGTTGGGTCAGCCCAGGGTATGTATGAGGGAAGGCCAGGTGATTGAAAGGGCCTATAATTCCTAGGTCCTCAAGTCTGAAGGGAATTATGGACAAAGCTAAAATGCTTTAAATATTTATGGGCTTGTTTTTTTGCTATACAAATTGAATTGTTTCCTTTGGATTACTAGAGGAGGTTTGGAAACTAATTTTAGATTGCTTTGAAATGACTTGCCCAATTCTAGAAATGCCATACACTGTGGGATTGATAGTGGAAGAAATGAATTCTGCCTTTGAATATCTAGCAGCTCACCCTACTTTGATGAGAAAGATACATTAAATTTTTCTTCATAGTCTTAATATCGGAATCAACTTTACCTTTTAACTGTTGACCAAATTGCCTTTAACTTCAGAGTGAAATGGAAAAAAATCAGACATCATACATTCATCCTCCTGTAAGGTTTGTTTTTCAAATTAGGATGGCATCTTGTGATCCCATTCAGAAAAAACTATTCAGTGTTAGAAAAGATATTACTGAGTGCCCACTATGCATTAGGCCCCATGTTAAATGTTGTAGGAGCTACAAAGTAAGGCTTTTGATTCTTAAGGCATTTGATTCTTTTGATGAGATGGGACAGTAAGAGTTCCTTTTTTTTTTTTAAGAGAGAGCCATGACATAATAGAGTCTTTCCAAAGCACTTAACTTAGTTTTCATTGCTACAGCTTTGTTTATACATTGATCTATTGTATAACAACTTTTATTTAGATATAATTCATATGCTATAAAATCTACCTCTTTTCAGTGAACAGTTCACGGCGTTAGTATATCTGCAGGTAGTTGGGGAACCCCTACCATTATCTAATTCCAGGACATTTTCATCACTTCTAAAAATAACCCTGTATCCATTAGCAGTTATTCCCCATTTCCCCCTCCCCAGCCCCCAGCAACCACTTATCTACTTTCTGTCTCTATAGATTTGCCTATTTGTACTCCTTCCACTTACCATTGTGTTTTCAAGGTTCATCCATGTTGTTGCATGTATCAGCACTTTGTTTCTTTTTATTGATAAATAATATTTATATGCCACATTTTGTTATTCACTCATCAATTGATGGACACTTGAGTTTCTACTTTTTGGCTATTATGTCCTTTTCCCCATATGTTTATTTTTTTAATTAATGTATTTTTTAGAACAGTTTTAGATTTACAGAAAAATTGAGACAGTGTAAGTTCCCATATGTCTACGCCCCCCCCCCACACACACACACACTGTTACCATGTAATACTATGGCACATTTGTTATAATTAGTGAACCAATATTTATACATTATTATTATTAACTAAAGGCCATAGTGTATTCAGATATCCTTAGTTTTCCCCTAATGTCCTTTTTCTTTTCCAGGATCTCATCCAGGATTCCACATTGCATTTAGTAACCATGTCTCCTTAGACTTCTTTTGGCTGTGACAGTTTCTTAGGCTCTGCTTGTTTTGGTGACTGATAGTTTTGAGGAGTGCTGGTCAGGTATATATGATGCTTCTCTACTAGAATTTGCCTGTTTTTCTCATGATTAGATTGGGGTTTGGGGGAGAAAGATCACAGAGTGCCATTTTCATCACATCATATCAAGGGGATATACCATCAACATGATTTATATCTGTTGTTGACATGGATCACCTGATCATCTGGCTGAAGTAGTGTTTGTCAGGTTTCCCCATGTACAATTAAATCACTCCCCCCTTTCCATATTGTGCTTCCTGGAATATGTGCTACATACAATAAAGGAGTGGGGAGTTATGCTCTACCTTGTCAAGGGTAGAGTATCTACATAATTTATTTGGAATTCTTCTGCAAGGGAGATTTGCCTCTTTCTCCCCATTTATTAATTCACTCAATAATTTATTTATTTTAATAATTTATTTTATTAGTATGGACACCTGGATAACTATTTTGTACTTTGGGTTATAATCCAATATTACTTGATTTTGGTGCTCACATTGTCCCAGCCTTGGCCATTGGGAGCTCTTTCTGTTGTCTTCTTTGTGCCCTTTGGTATACCACCATCAGTGTGTGAGTGTGTGTGTGTGTGTGTGTGTGTGTGTGTGTTTCTGAGTGTGTCCCTACTTTTTTCCTTTCATTTTTAAATAACACAAATCCCCAAAGAAGTTGATTCTAGGAAAACTAATAATACCCCCTTTCCCAGGTAATTGGATTCCTATGCTGATGGGGGAACTGTGCCTTACCTGCAGGGGGTTAAGGGGGAGGCATCTGGTACTCTAAGCTTGAATACGACACCTGTTCTGCCCTCCAGAGCTTAATTTAGTGGGTCACACAAGTGGTAATTGGTAAATTTGGGATTCAAATGCAAGTCATTAGGCTCAAAACCGCCTGTTATTTGTCCTACTTCAAGCTACAAATAACTGGGAAGCCTCAGAGGGTAAACATCTCCGGAATAGAGGATGAAACTTTAAAAAGACTTGCAAGAAAGCATTTTTTCAAAGTTTCATCCTGAAGACAGCTATTTTAAGCTACTTTTTATCCCAAAGGCACTAAACTCGTTTTTAATTATATTTTGACCTTTTAGCTGGCTTCTGAATTTTCACTGAAAATTCATTATCATTTTACAAACACTAATGGTATATTTATTATGTGACAATCGATGGCCTAATACACTATTCTCTTATGCTGTGTTTCTCTTAGAGGACACCTCAAATTCTTTTCACAAGTAGGGAGGTTTAAAATTATGAATATATACTATGACAGCATTGTGCCATAAAATTCCTATTTATATAACACACATTAAGTTATATTCCACCACACTGCTACGTTTCGTCTCTGAGATGGTTTAAACGAAGCCAATGTAAAAATCTTGTTACCTCCAAAGACATCAAGTGAGTTAATCCGAGCTTCTCTGTCATATCACTCCTCTCCCGTGTGAGTGATGAATGACAACCCAGTGGCTTAAAGACACTGAAACTACAGCTTCTCCTTGCCTCACTGAAGTTTCGAGTTTTATTTCTTATAATAAAAGTGCTAAATGTTGGTTTTTCTGAAAGAAGGGAGTGGGGAGATATAGAGATAGATAGCCCTCATAGACTGGGTGCATCCCTTGGAGTTGTGGGGCAATTTTGTGAAAACAGAATTTTTCAAACTAGGTCTATACTGATTAGTATAAGGCAAAATCAATTTAGTTGGTCGTGGCCATTTAATAAAAGAAAAATATCTGATCACTCTAGTGTTAAGTATATTGCTTTATAAAACCCATTTTAGTTATGCAACTCTGTATATGGAAGATTGTGTTATAAAATGTATTTCATACTGTGGTTAAATGTTCAAAGGAGTTGGAGAATCACTGCTGAAAGCAGACTCCACTCTGAACACTCACAACTTAATGTCAGGACATTTCAGCCTTTTCAGAAAACTTGAGTCAGGGGACACTTTTGGGGAGCTGGGGTGGGGGTAGTAGGGACAACGCAATGGCCCTTCACACCCCCCTGAGCTCGGGGATATAGTTAGAACATTAAAAATATTTGAGTTCATCATTCTGGATGAGGACAGAATTCACCAATGAAAATGTATGATTAACCAGCTATGAAACACGAAAACATACTTTTACTGTTACACATTCTTTTACAAACACCGTGTACATGTCAGTGCCCCCTCCCCCATTTCTAGCCTCCAGGAGAGGCCTGAATATCGAGGTGGCCATAGATTGTTGGGTATCATATTTTCCACCCCATTTTTATTTGCGCGGGTTTAGAAGCTTGTTAACAGAGCGTATGCGACTCTGAGCGCGATTGGATGGCTAACCTGAGGAGTGGAGCATCTTCTTTGGTGGCGGGTGGGTGTGAGGAGGAGGCGGCTGAAGGCTCTTACTGTGTCTGGTAACGCACAGCGGACCCTCATCATTGGACTGCGAGAAAGCGGGAGCGCTGCGAGGTAGGACAAGAGAAGATATAAAGGGGTGGGGGGAGTCCACAACACAGGGACTCGAAGAGGCTTCATAAAAGGCAAAGCTCATCTTTGCTGGACGGTGTTGTAAAGCAAGAGAAACCAGACGTCAAGAAGAACACCTAAAATCTGGGTCACCACGAGCGTTCCCTCTTTTTGGAACACCCTGAACCCAGGCTTCCAGCCCAGCCCACCGCGCGTCAGGTGAGCGGCCGCCACCTCCTCTGCCGCTGCAGGACCTGCGCCTCCATGAACTTGCCAAGAGCTGAGCTCCTTCGCTCCACACCGCCGCGCAGCCTCCGGGGCTCGGACGGGGAAGACGGTGAGATCGACATCCTCGGAGAGGAGGAAGATGAAGATTACGAGGAGGAAGAGGAAGACGACGCCGGGGAGAGCCAGCAGTTCCTGGAGCAGCAGGGGGCGCGGCGGGGAGCTAGCGCACTTCCGGGCGAGTTCACGGTGAGCGGCGACCGCCCGAGCAACGCCCCCGAGTTTGGCACCAAGTTCAGGGCCCCGACGGAGTCTGCGGAGGCCTCCGGGGACGCCCCGCAGCCGGCGAAGCCCCCGTACTCGTACATCGCGCTCATCACCATGGCCATCCTGCAGAGTCCGCACAAGCGCCTGACTCTCAGCGGCATCTGCGCCTTCATCAGCGGCCGCTTCCCCTACTACCGCCGCAAGTTCCCCGCCTGGCAGAACAGCATCCGCCACAACCTCTCGCTCAACGACTGCTTCGTCAAGATCCCCCGCGAGCCGGGCCACCCGGGCAAGGGCAACTACTGGAGCCTGGACCCGGCCTCCCAGGACATGTTCGACAACGGCAGCTTCCTCCGGCGCAGGAAGCGCTTCAAGCGCCACCACCCGCCCCCCGGAGCCCACCTGCACCACCCCTTCCCCCTGCTCGCGGCGCCCGCCGCCCTGCACGGCCCCTACCCGGGCCTGCTGCTCGGGTCGCCAGCCCCGTTGCAGCCTGTCCCGGGGGCCTACCCCACCGCCGCCCCCGGGAGCCGCCAGTGCGCGCTGCTGCACCCTCACCCTCTACGCTACCTGCTACTGTCCGCCCCGGCCTATGCTGAGGCACCGAGTAAAGCGCAGGGCGCGGACCTGGGGACCTCCGGCGCCATTCCGGTGTTTCAGTCCTCAGTGGGCTCCCAGCCGCGGGAGGAGGGCAAGGGGCCCGCGTCGCAGCCGGGAGGCGGATGCACTTCCTTCAGCATCGAGAGTATCATGCAAGGGGTTAGAGGAGGGGGTACAGGGGACGCGCAGAGTCAGCCCACGACCCCGTGGGGCTACTGCCACTTGCTGCAACGCCCGTCTTGCCTGTTGCGTCCCCAGGCCGCTGTCCCCTTGCTACACGTGTCCGCTGCCACCGCCACAAATGCTGCCAGGACGATGTTGCAGCAGCAGCAGCAGCAGCAGCAGCAGCAGCAGCAGCAGCAGCAGCAGCAGCAGCAGCAGCAGGACTGTGCCAGCAAAGGCTCACTGCTAGGCAGGCACCTGTCGGCCCCCGCGGCGCTGCAGGGGTGTCAGCCCGGAGCAGAGGGCTCTAGGCTGAAGTCGGGCAGAGAGGGGACCTCGCCGGCCTTTTGAGTAGCACCCACATCCTGCCCTGGCACCAACTCCGCGGATCGGACCTGGAGCCAAACTGGAGAGCGAGCGAGCCGGATCCCGCCCTCCCCGACCCCTGACCTCGCGCACTTTGCCTTGCACGGTCCGGACTAGGCATGTGCCTGGGCATGCCGCAGCAGAGCAACAACCAATTTCGGCTTGCTGCGAAATATTTACAAAGGAAAAGTTAGACACTGTTCCCTTAAGACAACCTGAAAATAAACTTCATATGATGTCAAGTCTCACCTTTTCTTTTCCAGTCTCCAGTGTGGCTTCCAGGGCTTGCCCGATTTGCTCATTTCCAGAGGAACTATGAACGTGAGTGGGGCATTTTGTTCTGGTAGTAAAAAGAAAAAAAGAAGATACGATGTCCAACGCATAACACGTTTCCCCTTCTTTGCTCCCTAGAAACTGCAAGTATTATTCCCGAGTCCAGTGCAAAATGCTCATGCCCTTTATGTCTTCCTAAAATCCATGTGTAATATAAGAATTTTAATTTCACAGCATTTATTTCTGATTTGTGTCTGATGTGCCAGTTTCCATGGAGAGGTGTTGAAATTAAATCTCTAGAGAATAAATAAAGTGCTAAACCACTACACGACATCGTTTATTTTATATTATGTCTCATTTATTCTAAATAGAACTTTTAAAACTTGGCTCTTTCCTCCCAATTAAACAGTATTTATTACAGATATCAAACAACCCATTTTCAAAATGGCTTTTAAAACTTCTGGATTTTTCAAGTTGAAAAAGTCCTGTCTTTTGAAATATGGAATTTAGCGTGTATGAAACGTATAAAATGAATTGAGGAAAAATAAATTCTCCATTTATTTTCTATCTTAGTAAAGATGTTGATTTTTCTCCTGAATAAGTTGGAAGACTATTTGAGATCAATTTGGAATGTAGTGGCCAACGTTTATTGGTGGGGGAAGGGGCAATTTAGAAAACCATTAGAACTTTCAAAACCAGGGCTCCAAGAAAAGGAAACTATCAAAGGGAGCATTCGTGTCCTGGCCATTTACAATTTAAAAAAACTCTGCAGGCAGGTATCTTCTAGGGGTTCCTATTCTCTTTCTTTAGAACAGAAAGAAAGTTTTTTTTTTGTTGTTTAAAGAAGAATTTCTAAAAGGATTTTACAACCCGAAAGGTTTCAGTTGTCTGAGTGGGAGGGAAACAGGAAAAGCAGATTTCTAGAGACTTTGCCGCTTTCCATGCCCTGAGCAGGCTCGTGTTTTAAAAGAATTGCTTTCCGAGCAGCTTTGGAAGAAGTGACTATGGGTGTGAGAAGGTCGCTCCCTGTCAGCTACTCCCCAGCTCCAGCTATGAATTCCTTATTACCGGACGGAGAGAAGACATAAGAGCAGATGTTTTTACAGCCATTTAATTGGTCCATTTTTACTCCAGCTTATCTCCCACCCCATAATTCAGAACTTCCTAGGCACGGCCTGCCTGCAATCCCCCCGCCACCCCCCCCCTCGTCCGGGCTTGCAGTAGTGCGGTTCCGGGAACGTTGTGGACGTTCCCAAGCCTAACCCTTGGTAGCCTCCAGGACGCAGAGCTTCCGTTTTCCCCTCCGCTATACACCTGCAGACCGTGTGGTATGCACCACCAGCACAGGCCCTATCCTCGGGCTGCAGCTGACCTCCAGAAGCCCCTCCTTCCCCTTCATCCACCTCTCCCTTTTGGGGCTTTGCTCATTCGTGAACTCAGTCTGTCTGACTCTCAGCACCTCAGCTTTAGGATCCTTTTAGCAATTTCTGCAGGTCTGTGCCAACCGAAGAGTTTGGAAACAAGCCGAGAATAAAGGCAGCCTAATTTCGTGTCAGCAACTCTCCCGTTCACATTCCAACCCCTCTTTGCCCTTCGTGCGGAAAACATCTCCAGGCCTACATTCGTTCATTGATCCGGCCAACGAACGTCACGTCGGAGCGCGAGGTACAGCCGGCCTCCGAACCCACAGCGGACCGTCGGGTCTCTCCAGGCGCGCGCTGCGCGCCGCAGGAGGCGGAGTTTTCTCCCCTCCCTTTGCCCCAGGCCAGATCCGCAAAGCCACCAACATGGGTGACGGCGGGTCAGAACCCGGCTCAAGCCGGCCCTCAAGCTCCCAATTTTTACCTAATGAAACTAGATCGAACAATGAATTTCCAAGAAAAACATCGATTCAGTGGAAGAGTAAATTAAATGTGGTTTTCCAACAGAAAGTGGCCCTTCGGGTCCAAGTGGCCCGAAGCGCTGCGACCGAGTGGAGCGGCTCGGCCTGAGGTGGGGCCCGCGCGAATCCACCGATAACTACCAGCACCTGCCAAGCCCTCAGTGCTGGCCGGGCTGGCGCGTCCCTGGTGTTTGGTGGCGCCGGGACGTGTAGAGGGTGCGTCGCGGTGGGCGCGGTGGCCAGGCCTGGCCGCGGGGCGCGAGGCCGACGCCCTGGCTCCCGGCCCGCGTCCCGGTGGTTCTGCGCAGGGGCGTCCGGGCGCCTTCCGAGTCCCGGGTTTCTGTTCACCCCGGTGCTGGCCTCGGGGCCGCGGCCTTGAACAACAACGAACAATAACGCGGGGTCCATTTTAAACCCCAGAGCGCATGCAGGGTAGGTACGTCGCTTCCGAGCTGAGCAACGGGATCCGGAGCCCAGTCGCCTTGGACCATCGGAATCGTCTTCTGGAGGCCGGGCTGACCGGAGGCGCCCAGAGCTGCCGGGGGAGCGGAGCGCGAGTGCCCGGGAGGCTCACCGAGGCTGGAGGGAAGTCGGAGGAGACTGTCTCTCTGGTTCTGCCCGCTAATAACACCACTAATAACAACAGCGGCCAACTGTTACCTCCTGCTCCCTGTGCCTGGCTCCGGATTCCCCCGTCTACTCTCCCAGCACCCAGTGTCCAAGACTATAGAATCCCCATTATGCAGATAAGAAATTTGCGACTTAGAGAAATTAAAGCGGCCTGAGGACCGTTAGGCAGAGGCGCTGGGCGCTGGCTGCTTTCTGAATCTCTAACCCCGTGGGCGCCCACGACTTTCTTCTCCGCCCTGCGCGTCCTTCGGGTCGCAGTGGCCGCGGCCTGAAGGGGGCCGGGGCCCTGGCAAGATCTGCGGAAGCGCATTTGCTCCCCAAGACACAGACGCTGAAGGATGCGCGCGCCGCCAGTTCCCCAACCTTTTTGCACACACCCCCCCCCCCCCCCGCGCTCAGCTCTGCGTTTCCCTAGAAAGTGCCTCTCAGCGCGGCGGGGTCACCAGGGGGACAGGGCCCGGCCCACGCGAAACTGGAGGACTCCACTTAACACAAGATCGTCAGAAGAGAACCCGGAGAGTGCCTTCTGCCTCTCCAGCCGCATTTTCGTTCTTTCCCCTCGCGGTCCCCAAGAACCCACGCACCCCTGGACGTGGACGTCCAGGAAGCCGGAGCCGCCGCGTCCTCCTTGCCGCCCGCCCTCAGCGGCGGGGCCCGCAGCGCACGGCCTCGCATTGCCCCAAAATTCCTCTCGGGAATCTTGACCCCGCGCTCCACGTCGCGCCGGGCGCCGGGCACTCCATCCTGACGACGTGAAAGAGTCGTAACGCGCCCCGCTTGCTGGGCGGCGTCGGCCTGCGGAGAGGCGAGGCAGCGGGGAAGGAGGCTGGGCCCCGCCAGGACCAGCCCTCAGGTCAGAAAGTGGGATGGGAGTGTGGCGGGGGCCGCTCCGGAGGAGGGGACAGGGTGTTTGGGGATCGGGAGGACTCGAGCCTGGGTGCGGGTCGGTGCCCGCACGCCCCGCGCAGGTGCGACCTGGCAGCGCAGGAACGTTCTGCGCGCTCAGATCTTACGCCCTTGGGGTGTCCACAACGCTTGGTACTTGCTTGTTCGTGGGAGCGTAGCTAACGGTTCAGGAGCCTGTCTCTTCTCCCGTCTGCCTAAAACGGACGCCCTGCTCCTTTCATTTTGGCTGGAATGCAATAACAGGCGGTAGAAAATCCAGGGAAACAGCAGAAACGACGAGAAAAAGAACAGAATAAGAACGGCGATAAGAACTAACAAGGATGAGCGCCAGATAAAGCAAATTTCGTCTTCTAAGGTTTTGCACCCGTGCTCCACCACGTTTAATTGGTAGTGTGGGGGGCTCACGGCTTCATCCCCCCCAGGATTTAGGAAGAATGTTCAGAAATGTGTTCCCACATTAACATCTGATTCCGGTCTAAATTGTAATCTTACTCTAATGTCATCTTCCTGTAATTTCTACAAAAATAGTTTAGTCTTAATGGCTGTGTTTTCACATCAGCACTGCGATTATTCTAATGTGTTTTAAGCATTCACTGAATCCAGATCAAAGAACTTAAATAGGTGATAACTAATACTATAAAAATTTGCCACCATTCCCCCGCCCCCCAAAAAAAAACCTCTAGAAAATTAGATACAGGAAAAAAAAGATTTGAGAATCCAGTCTGAAATTCAGTTCAACACCAGTTCCCTGTTGCTCAACTACCTTAACATAATCTAGGTGAATATGTTAAAAAGAAATGCTTATAAAAGAAATAATTGGATATAAAACTTCATTTTCTTATTTGTTCTTAGAATGCAGGAGTATGTTTATTGAAATCAGTAATAAAGAATATTTTGGGATAGTTATGATTTATTCATCTTGTGAAGTAGTTTCCATTCCCAAATCCAGGCAAAGAGAACAATGAGATTAAATTAAGTATAAGAGATCTCCTTTTTCTCAGATACTATAATTTTTTTATCTATAGCTATATCTAAATTTAAAGCCATGTTTATGATCAATAGTTCTTAAAATTAAGGTGACTATAATTGTGTTATCCAAGGTCTCTATCTGTTGTATAAGAGATTGTGGCATATTTCAAGCAATGTTTTCTTCCCCTTAAATTTGAAGTCTTTATTTTTTTTAACATAATGGAAACTTCCAAACAGATACAAAGGTAGAGAGATTAGTATAATTAACCTCTGTATACCGCTAGTCTAGGTCAATCTTTTTTCATCTTTATCCTCTGGCAGTCCTCTCCCCACTGGATTATTTTGAATTAAATCTCAGATATCTTATTAGTTCATCCACAAATATTTTTGGACATTTCTCTGAAAGATAAGAATTCCATTGATGTAACCACAATACTATTATCACGCCTAAATAATTCATTAATAACATCAGTTTATCCAGGCAAGATTTAAATACCCTCACTTGTCTCAAAACTGTTTTTATTTAGTTGGTTGGTTTGAATTAAAATGCAAGTAAGGTTCACATGTTATGTTTGGTTAATATGGCTAATACTGGGTACAGGAAGTATTTTTATGGTAAGATATTCCCAAGGTTAAGGTTATTTATTTAGACTTTTGAATATTAGCAAACAATAATGTTCATAGAGGGGCAGGGAGTAGTCAGGTTACCTTGCATCATCAATTGTTCAGAAAATAAATTTTTATTAGAGCAAGGGTGAGTCTGCGAAAACTTATGTGAAATTTTCCTATATGTAAATATAATGTTTTCTTACAACTTTTAAGACTAGATTGCTGTTTTCGATGTATTTAAAGAAATATAGAATTACCAATCAAATATTTCATTT